GTGCTCTCCTTAAATGCAGTCCTGATGAGATGCAAATTATCTCGGATTATCTGGCAACCCCTACCAGAGACCTGATGTAATTGCAGGGAAAGACTTAACACTTTTAAGGCCTTGCTGAAAAGCGTGAACATGGTTAATTGTCTGAGCGATGCAAACATTGTTTAATGTCTTCATCAGGAGCTACTTCAAAATCTTCTTTGCGCTAAGCCTGGGCGAAAAGTGAAGTGTCATTATCCTGATTTGCAAATTGCACACTTCTGATGGGTTGAAATCTGATTACGTGGAAGAGAGTGGAAGCTCTCGAGTTGAGTTCCATGGGCATTTCGTGAGGGGAAAGAGTTTGACAAAGCCTTCAATTTGCCACTTCTGAATTCTCCACTTTTGGAGGGCAAAACTAACTTCTTTTTTGTTTACTTCAGGGATGGGAAGCATCATCAGCCCGTTTAAAAACCTTTAAAGCCCTAAACGGCCTCAGTCCAGTATACCTGAAGGAGCGTCTCCACCCCCATCGTTCAGCCTGGACACTGAGGTCCAGCTCTGAGGGCCTTCTGGCGGTTCCCTTTCTGCGAGAAGTGAGGCTACAGGTGACCAGACAGAGGGCCTTCTCGGTAGTGGCACCCACCCTGTGGAACACCCTCCCTTCAGATGTGAAGGAAATAAGTAGCTATCCTATCTTTAAAAGACATCTGTAGGCAACCCTGTTTAGGGAAGTTTTTAACATTTAATGCTGTATTGTTTTTAATACTTGATTGGGAGCCGCCCAGAGTGGCTGGGGAAACTCAGCCGGATGGGCGGGGTATAAATAAATTATTATTATTATTATTATTATTATTATTATTATTATTATCCAGCTTAACTCTGCCCTGGGCACATTATTAGTTTCCTGGGACGAAACACACTCACACCACTCCGAGTCAAATAGCCAGGCTTTTGATTCGCCAACCCCATGTTACTTTGCTCAGCGCAGCTCTCGTTTCCAGCTGAGCAAAGCCACCCCCAGCCCCGCTCTGCAAGCCGCCCACATCCCATCATGCTCCCTGGAGCAGCAAAGAGCCATTAACCTTCGGGCTCAGCTTTTTACCGCCTCCAGGGTGTCGCTCCCATTAGGACAGTGGTGTGTCGTTACCAGAAGATGCCCTCGGCATGCGGAATGGCTGTTGACACAGGATGTCAAATGCTGCAATATGTCAAACGTTGCAGCGTGCTGGGACACAAATCGCCTTGCCGTGTCAGCAATGATCTCGCCGCACATTAAGCAATGTTCACAAACTGAGCTGCGTCCCCATATGCTTATTTGCCAAAGGCAAGGACGACTTCCCTTTGCACCTGTTCCTGAAAAACGGAGCTCCCTGTTTTGCCTCTGGTCCTGTTAGGAAAGACCAAGAGATATGGGCACAAGGTATAGGTCATAATATAAAGTTTGAAGATTGGGAAAGGTTGTGGGAAACTGATTTAAAATTTGCAGACTGCTCTTTGCTGAAAGAAAATTACAGTGGTACCTCAGGTTACATACGCTTCAGGTTACATACATTTCAGGTTACAGACTCCGCTAACCCAGAAACAGTACCTCAGGTTAAGAACTTTGCTTCAGGATGAGAACATAAATCCTGCTCTGGGGCACAGCAGCAGCAGGAGGCCCCATTAGCTAAAGTGGTGCTTCAGGTTAAGAACAATTTCAGGTTAAGAACAGACCTCCGGAACAAATTAAGTACTTAACCCGAGGTACCACTATACATGAAAATGATGTATAGGTGGTATATAACACCAGCGCAGATAAGAAGAATGTATAAAACTGGTCCAAATATATGTTGGAAATGTGATGGAAAAAGAAGGGACTTTTTACCATATGTGGTGGGATTGTAGTAAAATTAAAAAATTCTGGGAAAGGATATACAATGAGTTGAAGAAAATGTTCCAATTAACATTTGTAAAAAAACCCTGAAGCATTCTTGTAGGAAAAGTCCTGCCAAGGAAATTGAAAAACATCTTCAGGTATGTGACAACGGCAGCAAGAGTCTTAATAGCACAAGGATGGAAGAATGAGGAAATCCTGACCAAAGAACTGTGGCAAGAGAAACTGATGGACTATGTGGAATTGGCAAAACTGACACACAAACTACGCAATAAGGACAACTGTGACTTTAAAGAAGAATGGGAACCTTTTGCAAAGTACTTAAAGAAACAACAAAATGAACTGGACTCCTTGGCAGGTTTTGAATAAACATACACAAACTTTTTATTGGTAATATATAGATAGATAAATTAAGGATCTTTACAATTTTATAATATGCAGAGAGCAACATGTGCTGAAAAACCAGAGAGAGGAGCTGAGGGAAGTCTGGGTGGGGGTGGGAGGTTGGGTTTTTGGGGGGAGGGGAGGGAAAGAATGGGGGGAATGAGGATGATGTGTTTTTGATATATTGTTATGTTGAAATTCCTAATAAAAAATATTTTTTAAAAAGGAAAGACCAGGGCCATCTTACCCATAGGCACTAGGGGTGCAGGGCACCCGGGCGCCGGGCTCTCAGGGGCACCAAGCCGAGAGTCCGGGGCCTGAGAGTCGAGTCCGGGAGAGAGCCTGCCCATCGGTTGTAGCACCACAGCGGGTTCTTCTGCTGTGGGCAGCTCTGTGCCACAAGTTCGGGGGCGACCGAGCCAGCGAGATGTTGAGGCAGCCGGCCGGCTCTGTCCTCCTGCGTGCCTGGGACCGGGCAACCCGGAGAGGGGCACCGGGCAGATCTTTGCACCGCAGTGCTCCATATGCTTATGACAGCACTGGGAAAGACCTCGCTTTAGGCTACCATCCTATACCTATAGAACGACAGAACTGTAGAGTTGGATGGGACCCAAGGAGAAATCTAGTCCAGCCCTCTGAAAAGCAAGCATTCACTTATCAGACGGTGCAGGGATAAAACAGCTGGCACATTTGCAAGGCTAAGCAGAGTCCGGTATGGTTTCAAATTGGATGGGGGACCGCATATTGAAATTCTTGCATTGCAGCAGATTGGACTAGTTGACGCCTTCCAACTCTACAATTCTATATTTATTTATAAAAAATATGTGTATACAGCTGCGTCGTTAAAAAATATCAAAGCGTTTTCCAGGAAAAAATAAAACAAGTCTACAATAATACTTGCCTTTTCTCTTACCAAAAAACCCTGAATGCTGCAAACTTTACCCAAAGGGGAGTTGCTCCATTCCCTTGATTGTTTGGGATTCCCTTTTCTGAACTTTTCCAACTCTGCAATATCCCCTTTGAGGCAAAGGGGTCTGAATTTTGCTGCCTCTCCCATGTCGTTGGAGGCTAGATCTTGCCAACTTTCTCATCTCCTAAGATTGCCTGGGGTTGCCATTTTGGAAACGGACACTGAGGTCCAGCTCCGAGGGTCTTCTGGCGGTTCCCTCCCTGTGAGAGGTGAGGTTACAGGGAACCAGGCAGGGAGCCATGTTGCAGTGCTCCATGTGTGTTTATATGTAAATACAGTAGATTAGCCCAAATGCTGAGTTGCTGAGGTCTGTTACGCAAGCTGCGAAGACTCTGCGGATCCCTAAGTGTGCTAGTGTCGGTTGGCATCGGTTGCTGTGATGTTTGGGCTGAAGAAAGCTTGATGGAAGTCCAGCCGTCATTAAATGGTGCTGTATAGCATTAAATAAAGACACAGAGAGCCAGCAATATTTTCAGGATGGTATGAGCAGCTCCTTTCGAATTTCTCTCTCTCCCGTAACTTTTATTATCATCCTTTGTTCTCTCCTCTCGCATGGCCGTTTGCCAATGTCTCACATTACCTACATCCGGTCATGGCTTTAACCCACCCATCGCCTTATAGGGTCATGCACTTAATACACTGCAAGGCACGGACATGCAGGTCACTGAGGTCAGCGAGGCACCAGGTGGCGCTACAAGCCTTTTCCATGACTTCCTGGCTCCCACACTTTTGAAGCTCCCAAACGCTCGACCAGGAGGGAGAGAACATTCCAGTCAGGCATGTGTCTCTACCAGGGTCCTACTCGAGTGTAGGATGAGCTCCTGACAATTAGAGCTGTATTAATATTATGCTATCATTTATTTGTAAACCTTCTTTCTGTTCAGCTGCATAAAGCATCGGACCTCCCCCCCCCCCCCTTCGACCCTCATGCAATGGAACAGACCACACTGCGAAGTAAGTTTAAAAACCAATTTACTTACTAAATTGAGGTCACGGTCATGCATTTTCCATTAAGCAACAGCAAAAGGATAATGCAGGTAAAATACTTAGTTGAAATACAGCAAAAGCAGACTGCTAAGTTGAGAACTAAGGAATGCCTGCTTCTGTTGCATGGAGAGAGAGAGAGAGAGAGAGAGAGAGAGAGAGAGATGAACAGGAAACAAGCTTTACTCACTGCATTGCAGGGGGTTGAACTAAATGGCTCCACAATTATATTATAATATAATTCCTCTCAGAAGAAAAGGAGATGTGACTTCATTGAGCCTACTCTAACAAGAAGGACTTTGTGGTCCTTAACCCCTTCATATACTAACTAGCATTGTTAGGTTTGGCGGCAAATCTCCCACAATCGAAACTGCCCCCACAAGAAAAACTTATAACGCTGTAACGCGTTTTGGTCCAAAGGTCCCCCATGCGGTGAGCAGCATATTAATACCAAGAAAACAAAATAAAAACACAATAAACTACAGTAATAACTGAACTTTTGTGGCACAGAATTTGGATCCTGGGGGGATCTGGATGTTGAAGAATGTCCCTGTGGAGATTCACTGTGACCCCCTCCTTGCTTCCTTTCAGATGAAAGTCAGAACCACTCTACTTTGAAGTCTCATAACAATTATGCTGCTCTTGCTTTTAACATTTTTATTTTAAAAACTATATTTTTGATAATAACCCTCTTTTATTTCTTTCATTGCATTGTATATTTTCTCTTCTAAGTGGCTCTGGGTCCTGGATAAATACTAATTTCATTTTTTCTATGTGATGTTCAGACAGCTCCACCCATACTGAGATACCCAGAGGAAAATGCTTAGCGTTTTGACACGACAATTGTCTGTAAGTACAGTACTTCATATTCTTTCAACAGGAAACACGTAGCCTTTTAAAGGAAACCTCACTGCTGGAGGCTGTTATTTATTTGTGAATGACATTTCACTAAAAGCGTCCCACTCGCCCCCAGTTTTCTATTTCCATGACAATGTAATGATTCAGAATCCGCGGACCCTTTGTCGGATCGCACCTTGCCATTTAAACACTGGAGCAAAGATCCAAGAGGTTATAAGGGTCACTCTCTGTTTCTCCAAGTGCTGTTGAGCAGGTGTTTTGCTCCTCTCAAAAGCTATGTGGAGGTGGAAAATAGATCTGACCCACGTGTGAGTAACTAACAAAAAGAATCAGCTGGGTTCCTAGATTTAAAATGTGAGGCTTTGCACAATCTCCAGTGAGAGAGAATAGAATAGAATAGAATAGAATAGAATAGAATAGAATAGAATAGAATAGAATCATAGAGTTGGAAGAGACCACAAGGGCCATCGAGTCCAACCCCCTGCCAAGCAGGAAACACCATCAGAGCACTCCCGACATATGGCTGTCAAGCCTCTGCTTAAAGACCTCCAAAGAAGGAGACTCCACCACACTCCTTGGCAGCAAATTCCACTGTCGAACAGCTCTTACTGTCAGGAAGTTCTTCCTAATGTTTAGGTGGAATCTTCTTTCTTGTAGTTTGGATCCATTGCTCCGTGTCCGCTTCTCTGGAGCAGCAGAAAACAACCTTTCTCCCTCCTCTATGTGACATCCTTTTATATATTTGAACATGGCTATCATATCACCCCTTAACCTCCTCTTCTCCAGGCTAAACATGCCCAGCTCCCTTAGCCGTTCCCCATAAGGCATCGTTTCCAGGCCTTTGACCATTTTGGTTGCCCTCCTCTGGACACGTTCCAGTTTGTCAGTGTCCTTCTTGAACTGTGGTGCCCAGAACTGGACACAGTACTCCAGGTGAGGTCTGACCAGAGCAGAATACAGTGGCACTATTACTTCCCTTGATCTAGATGCTATACTCCTATTGATGCAGCCCAGAATTGCATTGGCTTTTTTAGCTGCCGCGTCACACTGTTGGCTCATGTCAAGTTTGTGGTCAACCAAGACTCCTAGATCCTTTTCACATGTACTGCTCTCAAGCCAAGTGTCACCCATCTTGTATTTGTGCCTCTCATTCTTTTTGCCCAAGTGCAATACTTTACATTTCTCCCTGTTAAAATTCATCTTGTTTCTTTTGGCCCAGTTCTCTAATCTGTCAAGGTCGTTTTGAAGTGTGATCCTGTCCTCTGGGGTGTTAGCCACCCCTCACAGTTTGGTGTCATCTGCAAATTTGATCAGGATGCCCTTGAGTCCATCATCCAAGTCGTTGATAAAGATGTTGAATAAGACCGGGCCCAAGACAGAACCCTGTGGCACCCCACTAGTCACTCTTCTCCAGGATGAAGAGGAACCATTGATGAGCACCCTTTGGGTTCGGTCAGTCAGCCAGTTACAAATCCACTGAGTGGTAGCATAGTCAAGACCACATTTTACCAGCTTCTTTACAAGGATATCATGAGGCACCTTGTCAAATGCCTTGCTGAAATCAAGGTAGGCTACATCCACTGCGTTCCCTCATCTACCAGGCTTGTAATTCTGTCAAAAAACGAGATCAGGTTAGTCTGACATGACTTATTTTTCAGAAATCCATGCTGACTATTGGTGATCACAGCATTCCTTTCTAGGTGCTCACAGACTGTACGCTTAATGATCTGCTCCAGAATCTTCCCTGGTATTGATGTCAGACTGACTGGGCGGTAATTATTTGGGTCCTCTCTTTCCCCCTTTTTGAAAATAGGGACAACATTTGCCCTCCTCCAGTCTGCCGGGACTTCACCTGTTCTCCAGGAATTCTCAAAGATGACTGCCAGTGGTTCTGAGATCACATCTGCCAGTTCTTTTAATACTCTTGGATGCAGTTCATCTGGCCCTGGAGACTTGAATACATCTAAACTAGCCAAGTATTCTTGTACTATCTCCTTAGTTATTCTGGGCTGTGTTTCCTTTGCTGAATCATTTGCTCCAAATTCTTCAGGTCGGGCATTGTTTTCTTTATCGGAGAAGACTGAGGCAAAGAAGGCATTGAGGAGTTCAGCCCTTTCTGTGTCCCCTGTTTGCATTTCACCATCTTCTCCTCTGAGTGACCCCACTGTTTCTTTGTTCTTCCTTTTGCTACGGACATACCCATAAAAGCCTTTTTGTTGCTTTTAACCTCTCTAGCAAGCCTGAGTTCATTCTGCGCTTTAGCTTTTCTGACTTTGTGTCTACACGTGCTGGCTATTTGTTTGAATTCCTCTTTGGTGGTTTCCCCCCTTTTCCATTTTTTGTACACATCCTTTTTTAATCTTAACTCAGTTAAAAGTTCTTTAGATAGCCACCCTGGCTTCTTTAGGCACCTTCCATGTTTCCGTCTCATTGGTATTGCCTGACGTTGTGCTTTTACTATCTCCCTCTTAACAAACTCCCAGCCATCATGAACTCCCTTTCCTTTTAGTATTACTGTCCATGGGATCTCACCCAGCACTTCCCTAAGTTTTATGAAGTCAGCTTTCTTAAAGTCAAGAAATTGAGTCCTAGTATGCTTGGCTGCTCCTTTCCGCTGTATAGTAAACTTCAGAAGAGCATGATCACTCGCGCCTAATGATCCTTCCACTTCTACCCCACTAACCAGGTCATCAACATTGGTTAGGACCAGATCTAAAATGGCTGTTCCTCTTGTTGCTTCTCCCACTTTCTGGACAATGAAGTTGTCTGCAAGGCCAGTGAGGAATCTGTTTGACCTTATGCTCTTGGCTGAGTTTGACATCCAACAAATATCCGGGTAACTGAAGTCCCCATTACTACTATCTCCTTCCTTTTGCATGCTTGGCCATCTGTTCCAGGAAGGCATCATCTATGTCCTCCGTTTGGCTTGGGGATCTATAGTAAACTCCCACAATGAGGTCACTCTGATTCTTCTCTCCCTTAATTTTGACCCAAATGCTCTCACTTTGGCTTTGAGGTTCTAAATCTTGGATCTCTTCACAGGTATACACATCCCTGACATATAACGCCACTCCTCCTCCTTTCTTGTCTGGTCTGTTTCTCTGAAATAGATTGTATCCCCCCATTATTACATTCCAATCGTGGGACTTATCCCACCAGGTTTCAGTGATGCCTATTATGTCATATTTAGTTTGCTGTACCAAGAGCTCAAGCTCATCTTGTTTATTTCCCATGCTTTGTGCATTAGTGTACAGACATTGAAGTCCATTAATCATTCCCCGTGTCTCTTATTTAATGATTTTTTCCTCCCACCACTAGGTCTGTGTGCTGTTTGCTCCATTTGGTCTATGACATTTGGATGATCATCTTCATCAATTGATAGACTCCTACCTTCAGGAGCACTGTCTCCCTCCCCCACATTAGTCAGTTTAAAGCCCTCTTGATGAGGTTTCTTGGATTTTTGGCAAAAACATTTCTCCCAACCGTTGTGAGGTGCAGCCCATCGCTTGCCAGAAGTCCATCAGCAGAGTTAAAAACACTCTCAGAATTACCGTATTTTTCGCTCTATAAGACGCACCAGACCACAAGACGCACTAAGTTTCTGGAGCAGGAAAACAAGGGAAAAAATATTCTGAATCTCAGAAGCCAGAACAACAAGAGGGATCGCTGTGCAGCGAAAGCAGCGATCCCTCTTGCTGTTCTGGCTTCTGGGATAGCTGTGCAGCCTGCATTCGCTCCATAAGACGCACACACATTTCCCCTTACTTTTTAGGAGGGAAAAAGTGAGTCTTATAGAGCAAAATATACGGTAACCAGCAGCATAGCGTAGAATGCAGGTTGTTAAATCTCTTTGCATATCCTGTTATATAATCATAGAATTGGAAAGACCCGAAGGGTCATCTAGTCCAACCCTCTGCAATGCAGGAATATGCAGGAATATACAAGGATCGAACCTACAACCTTGGTGTTATGAACACCACACTCTTACACACTGAGCTACCCAGGTTGACAAAAAACGCTTACCCCTCCAGCAATGAGCAGACCACACATTCTTAAGTTTAAAAGCTTTACTTACTAAATCTAAAGGTCTGGTTCATGCATTGTTCTATGCGGCAGCAAAGAGAACACCGGTACATTGCTCTTGGGTGCAAAATGCACAACAGTATGAACTACCTTTACATTAGGCCAGGGAGTTATACCCTGTCAATTGCAGTTCAGACATGGCCGTCCTGGTGGATTACGCAGTGAGAAGAGAGGAAATAGAAGCAGCTTCACTTCCTCCTTCATGGAAAAGAGTGGGGATTCCATAAAGAGGAAGGGGGCCAACACAGAGAGGGCTCTGTCTTGTTGCCACCCTTCAAACCTACCTTGGTGGTGTCACATACAGAAGAGCCTCGGGTGATGATCTCAGGCTCTGGATTGGTTCATCTCAGGGAAGGTTGTTGGAAGCTTCCAGACAGGTAAAATAAAGTCCTTCTCCATGTAGCAGACTTTGAGAAAACATCTGAAGGCAGCCCTGTTTAGGGAAGCTTTTAATGTTTAATAGATTATTGTATTTTAATATTCTGTTGGAAGCTGCCCAGAGTGGCTGGGGAAACCCAGCCAGATGGGCAGGGTATAAATATATTATTATTATTATTATTATTATTATTATTATTATTATTAAATTTTGGAATTCAATCCCACAGGGGGCTGTGATGGCCACCAACTTAGATGACTTTAAAGTAGAAAGGTAAAGGTAAAGGACCCCTGACAGTTAAGTCTAATCATGAATGACTCTGGGGTTGCGGCGCTCATCTCGCTTTACAGGCCAAGGGAGCCGGCGTTTGTCCGCAGCCAGTTTTTCCAGGTCATGTGGCCAGCAGGACTAAGCCGCTTCTGGCGAAACCAGAGCAGTGCACAGAAACGCCGTTTACCTTCCCACCGGAGCGGTACCTATTTATCTACTTGCACTTTGACGTGCTTTTGAACTGCTAGGTTGGCAGGAGCTGGGACCAAGCAATGGGAGCTCATCCCGTCGCGGGGATTCGAACCTCCAACCTTCTGATCGGCAAGCCCTATTCATGGAGCAGAAGGCTTTCAATGTCTACTAACTACAATGGATAGTAATAGTGGCCGCCGAGACCATATAACACGGGTCCTGAAAGACCTACATTGACTCCCAGTAAGTTTCCGAGCACAATTCAAAGTGTTGGTGCTGACCATTGGCCTGATCCATACGTCTCTTCTCATCTTCTTCTTTTTTTTAAGAGTTTATTTATTTATTTTCAATGCAGAATCATAACAAAAATTACAAACATTGAATCCAAAATAATACTATACAAACAAACAAAACGGAACATACAAAAAAAAAACAGAAAAGAAAAAGAAAAAAAGCAAAGGAAACAAAACTAAACAAAAACGAAAAAACACACATGTACAGAAAAAAAACATATCATTACGTACATTTACACATATTGACTTCCTTCCTTTGTTCTAAGACCTCAAAAAATTTACTCTTACTATATTGTTGTGTCTGGTTAGATTACTTCCATCTTTGTACTTTTTTTTTTTATACACCATTTTTTTTTCTTTAACCCTGTAAAGCATCATTCATTACATACCAATATACTTACTCGAGAACAATGTTTTTTCATATACTGTTTAGCACAACCCCATTCTTTTAATAATTTCTGGTCCGATTGTCCCCTTATGAATGCTGTGAGTCTTGCCAGATTTATGTATTCACAAAAATTAATTTGCCAATCTTTCACTGATGGGATTTTCCTCCCTTTCCAGTTTTTTGCTATAAGCATCCTGGCAGCTGTTGTTGCATAAAGGAATACTTTCCTTTGATTTTCGGGAATATCATTTGTAATTAAACCTAAAAGGAATGCCTCCGGTTTTTTACTGAAAGATATTTTAAACATCTTTTTGAGTTCTTCGTAAATTTCGTTCCAGAATTGTTTAATAGGTCGGCATTCCCACCACATGTGAAACATTGTTCCTATTTCTTATTTACATCTCCAACAGGTATTCGATTTTAATTTGTAAATTTTAGTCAATTTTACCGGAGTTAAGTACCATTGGTACACCAATTTCATAACATTTTCTCTTATTATATAACATGCCGTGAACTTAATATCATATTTCCATAATTTCTCCCATTGTTCCAGCCGAATCACATATCCTATATCACGTGCCCATTTAATCATAACTTCTTTTACTTCTTCATCCTTTAATTCCCATTCTAATAATAAATTATACATTTTGGATATATTCTTTTTTGAGTTTTGTAATAATACTTTTTGTAATTTTGATTCCTCTTTTTCAAATCCTATTATTTTATCCTGATTAAATATTTGTGCAATTTGGTGATATTGTAACCATGTAGTACAGTATTGGGTCACCTCTTCATATGGTCTTAATTTTAATTGGCCCTGTTCTTCTCTTCTCATCTTCTTGTGTGTCACCCACTCCGCACCCTTGCCACAGATGTTGCAATCTATATCCAGAGTCTGAAGCTGACAAATGCTGGGAGCTAGGTGGCACCACTTAGGGACCAGGTTTGACCCAAAGGTCCACAGCTACTGGTCATGAGTGCCATTGAATCAGGGCTTGAAGGAAACTCAGAAAGTATTAACCCTGGATAACTGTTCACCATGTAAACAAGTCGACAGCGACTGTGCTGGTCCTGGGGGCTAACCGAGAGGCGAGGTCCGAGTCCGGTCCAAGGTCGAGGTATGGAGGCTGTTCGTCAAAGCTGTAGCTGGGTCCAAGGCAGGGAGTCGGGTGGAGGCAGAAGAGCAGGACAGGGTGCAGACAGGAACAGGACAGCAACAATGTTGCTCCCGCAACCTGGGACTGGGGCTGGCCGGCTTTTATCTGCCCCGAGGCATAGGGCGGCCCCGGTCCACAGGTGACTTGCCTCTCCTGGCCTGGAGGCGAGCACTCCTCCTGCGGGAACTTAGTTCCCTCCGCCTCTCTGCACTGAGCCCCTGCAGCTCAGGAGAGGCTGGAGGGTTACTGGACCCAGAGGCAACCTCCTCTTCCCCTGACGGGGCTGAGAGTGGAGCACCTGCAGGCAATGGGTCCTCCCATCACCTCCGGAGCCAGGGCAGGCTCAGCTGGTGCCTGCACCTGAGGATCCAGCACAGGTGAGGACCCTTCAGGCTCATGCCCCAGCCCCAGCTCAGCTGGTTCTGGAGGCGGGGACTCCTGTGCAGGCTGGGATTCCTCAGGTTCAGCCTCTGAATCCCAGGCCATCACAGCGACACTCTCTCCCGGCCAATTTTGGAATCAGAACAGGATGCCCTTAAGTTGTTTGCAGGCAGCCACACAATATTTGCTCTGCTCCAGGTGGCCACCGAAGGCTTTAAACTTCTGTTCCTGTTTTCCTCGCATTTTCTGTCAGTCATAATCTCTGGGTTCCTCTCCCCACCACCACCTTCTGCCATCTCAGCAGCATACCTTCCAAACTGCTGAAAACAACTCAGTGTTTATGGAGCGCTCTGAGGTTCTTTGATGGGAGGACCAAGTTGGCGTCGATGTCCACTCGCCCCCTTTTAGGAAAATGCTGGCTGCATGGTTTGCATTATCGAATCGAGATCAGAGGCCTGGTTTCACAGGATCCATGCCATGGTCCGCAAGCTGGACACGGTGGAGAGGTCTAGCTTGTTTACCCTGAAGCTCCTGCCCTCTGCATTTCTCTTGTCTTCTCCAGCCTGACCAATCCTTTGGGGAAGGGACGTAGCTCAGGAGAAAGGGCATCTGCTTTGCATGCAGAATTTTTTTTTAAAAAAAAATTCACATTAGCCAACGGCCATGGCAACATAAAACAAGCAATATATGCAAATAACATATATACAAATTTAAAAAAGACGACAATGGGTAAAAAGGGCAATCAAATGACCAAGATTATCATTCAGATAGGTAAAGGTCCAGTCGTGATAGACTCTGGGGTTGCGGTGCTCATCTTGCTCTATTGGCCCCCTGCGGCTCCCAGTAGTACAGGTTGGGTTCGCCCTCCCCAGGCTGGATACCTGGAGGTCTCCGCCTACCTCAGCCAATCACCCAATCCTGCCTGGGGAGGCTGAAATATACTTTGAGTCAAGTGTGGATTTCATGCTCTTTATTCAGCTCATAGTAGTGAGGAGGAATGGAAGTTCCCCCAAAATGTCTGCTTTATATACATTATGTACACAATGGGCCCCACGTGATTGGCTAATTCCGGGATCCTCCTGTAGGCCAATCAGGTTGCGGATTCACTTCCACCTGGAGTTGGATTGGGTGGCTCCTGCGGACCAATCAGACTGCTGCATTGTTCTAGGACCAATCAGACTGCTGCATTCTGAATCCTATTGTTCTAGGACCAATCAGACTGCTGCAATTAGGATCCTATTCAACTCAGTACATAACAGAGGCGTTGCCAGGGGATTGGCCAGGTAGGGGGAGGGACCGCCCTGCCCACACAATGGAATCTTACCTCCAAAGCATCAGTTGGCTCCAGAGCTTCTCCCACCTTCCCCTCCCTCAGTTAAGTCTTCTTTTGCAGGTTAACCTCTTCTCCACAGGTACGCGGGCGCTGCTACGTCAGGGCTACTGTTGAAGGACTGGAAAGGAATTTTCTTGCATTGGCAGGTTTTGCCTTTCCCGTAGCAAAACGTTACAACTTTGGCAGTTTCAGGCCTTGGGCGGAATCCTTTAGTCTATCTTCCTAAATGGGAGGGGTGTAAAACGGTGACCCACGCCCCACTTAGGTGATCCCAGGGCTCCCCGTTGAAGGGGTCTTGAGGGGAGGCATTGGCCATACGCCGAGAGGTTGTCATTGCTCTCCCCTCCAACGGCGGCGAAACGGGGGGTGGGCTCTCTGCTTGAAGATATGTTCTCCAGAGCCAGCCCAATCCCCACACATTCTGGATAACCCTGATGTCTCCCAGATCCCCAGCTGGGGACTGGGAAGGATAAACACCCAATGCCTGAGCCAAGGTCTCCCTACACCTGGAACTTAATAAAGTTGTGGCCAATTTTAATCCCATAGTATGTTGTCTTGAGTCATTATTCCACTCGGGGGTCGCCTGGGGTTGGGGGGTCTCCACCATAGCTGTCAAGTGTCCCTTATTTGAAGGGACAGTCCCTTATTCCAGCGCCATGTCCTGCTGCTGTCCCTTATTGATGGATGTCCCTTAAATGTCCCTTAAATGATGTCCCTTAAATTTCAAAGGAAGCAGCTCCTCTCCCTCCCTCCCTGCCGGCCAGGGAGGAGGGAGGCTCCAACTGTGTTGCTTGGCTGTGTTGCTCACCCAAAAAGAAGTCTAAGAACGACTGGGGGGTGGAGCTTGCATGCCTTGTGTGTGGCTAGTTAATGCAAGCTGAGGAGGTTTTTGAATGCTAGACGCCATTTTGTTGCACGTGCTGCTGCAAATTTTGCAGTGCAAAACCAGGCCGGGGAGCCATCTTAGGTTGAGGCTGTATAGGCCTTGTGGTGCATGTGATTCAGATTCTATTCAGTTGAACCTCTGGTTACAAAGTTGGTTGGACAGTGTTCTCGAAGCTACCAGCATGAGTTTGACCAGACTGCAGGGGGACAGGAAGACTGGAGTGCCTGGAACAGGTGAGGCTGCAGGTCCCTTATTTTCAAATCTGTAAGTTGACAGCTATGGTCTTCACCTGTCCACGCAATGAGAATATATCACCGCCGACAAAGCGCCAGCAGGAGCCATGCCACGTCGGACGTGCCAACGTTTAGAAATACTTGATTCAGGCCAAAGAGGAAGACACTGCAGATGTTTCCTTCTCGTGGCTGCCGTCATGTCCCCCCAGGCGTTTGATGTTTGTGTGGATGTGAGAAAAATCAATGTTTGCGAAGGAGGGAGGGAGAGGGCGGGGAAGAGACCCAGACCTGATGAATTTCACAAAGCAGCCAAGCACGATAGAGGCCCCGAGTCCGAAAGAGAGAGAGAGAGATGTCTTTGGCTGGGGAAGCCAAGTTTTGAAATGCAGATCCTCATCCAAACCCCGCCAAGATCAAAGGGAAACCTGCTACTTGCTCCAGCAAGAAACGGGGGTGTTTTTGAGCATGGCATGGGACGTAAAGGACAGCTTGACCCCTGTGGCTGCTGGAAGTCAGAGCGCAACCAACCTGAGGCTTCATTTTGGGCCCGAGCAGAGTTCCTGCCACAGATGATGGATCTCTGGCTGGCTTGCTGCAAGCTCGTTTCTGCCGCAGTCCCACTGTTTGCTTAATACTTGAGTTATTTACAGCGATGATTGGCTGGTCTTTCCGAGAGAGAAACCACCCACGGCAAGGAGCAAAATGTAATAATGGCAGGACACAGGGGTGCTGAACACGGCAGCGAAAGGAAGGCGAGATCATGCAGAATACTCCAGCACGATTGCTGACAGGAGGAGGGTCTTGTGCGCATATTGCGCCTGTGCTCAGAGCAGGGGCGCCAACTTGGGCCCCAGGCTATGGGTGCCACCGGATGTCAGCCTAGCAGCGCTTAGCTCTGCAAATGTGCTAGCAACTTTCATGCTGCAACAAGTCATGCCATAAAAATTGGGGGTTGCCTTATACACCAAATGTTTAAAATATTTATTTCTTCATTTTGGGCTCAAAAAATAGGAGTCGTCTTATACATGGGAGCGTCTTATAGACAGAAAAATACGGCACCTCTTGATTGGAAAAGCAACAATAACCACCCTCAAAGCAGTTCACAAAATGAAGAATGTGGGAATGTTCAGGGTGATAGGAGAGGATATATAGTTTATTAATATCCTTCCTAACTTGTGCTAGCAAGTTTCTTTACTTAGCAGAGTTACAGTCCCCCTTTTACATGCACAGCAGGTAGCTGGTTGCAGGCTCGTGCAATTATACAATTCAGTCTGTCTCAGACTGAACTGTACGTTCCTGGTAGGTTCCCTTGAATCCCTCTTAAAAGAATAAATGTGATGGCCTGGGATTCGGACTCGGAGGCTGAACCTGAGGAATCCCAGCCTGCACAGGAGTCCCCGCCTCCAGAACCAGCTGAGCCAGGGCTGGGACTTGAGCCTGAAGGGTCCTCACCTGTGCTGGAATCCTCAGGTGCAGGCATCAGCTGAGTCTGCTCTGGGTCCTGAGGTGATGGAGGACCCATTGCCTGCAGGTGCTCCACTCGCAGCCCCGTCAGAGGAAGCTGAGGTTGCCTCTGGGTCCGGTAGCCCTCCAGCCTCTCCTGAGCTGCAGAGGCTCAGGGCAGAGAGGCGGAGGGAAGTAAGTTCCCACAGGAGGAGTGCTTGCCTCCAGGCCAGGAGAGGCGAGGCACCTGTGGACTGGGGCTGCCCTCTGCCTCAGGGCAGATAAAAGCCAGCCAGCCCCAGTCCCAAGTTGCGGAAGCAACATTGTTGGTAGCCAGTTCCTGCCTGCACCCTGCCCTGCCGGAGCTCCTGACCTCACCCAACTCCCTGCCTTGGACCCAGCTTCAGCTTTGACGGACAGCCTCAATACTGCCCCCTTGACCTCGGACTGGACTCGGACCTCGCCGCACGGATAACCCACAGGACCAGCACAATAAAGATGCCACAATCTTATTCAAAGTCAATAAAAGAAGTTTACTCACATCAGTTCACAGTTGGATTCCTGAAGGCAGACTTAGTTACAAATATGTACATGTGGATCTACCCCATATGGGGGAATAATCCCAGTGCTTCTGTTAGCTGAGAGCTAGCAGAGCAGTCCTCTCTAGAAGCTGGTCAAAGGAAGAAGGAAGTCAAAAAGAAAGGGAGGGTGCTGCGTGGCTCGTCCTTTTGTTACCTGGACAGGTTAGGTCACACCCACCTTCTATCACATGAAAAGGAAGGATGCTCCAGCCAGGAGGAACAGGAAAATTTGACTAGCTGGACCAAACATTCTCTCACATGTCCACTCTAGGAAAAAAAGGAATGTTGTACAGTGCTACCTCTAGTTACGTACTTAATTCGTTCCAGAGGTCCATTCTTAACTTGAAACTGTTCTTAGCCTGAAGCACCACTTTAGCTAATGGAGCCTCCCGCTGCTGCTGCGCCGCTACTGTGCGATTTCTGTTCTCATCCTGAAGCAAAGTTCTTAACCCGAGGTATTATTTCTGGGTTAGTGGAGTCTGTAACCTGAAGTGTCTGTAACCCGAGGTACCACTGTACTTGACTGCCTCTCATGGGTCACATCCCACAAAGAAAACCGTAACATCTTTAGTCAAAGCAATCAAAACATTCAAAAAAGGTTAAAACCAGACATCACCATTTTAGATATCTGGGTAAAGGTAAAGGGACCCCTGACCATTAGGTCCAGTCATGGCCGACTCTGGGGTTGCAGCGCTCATCTCGCTTTACTGGCCGAGGGAGCTGGCGTACAGCTTCTGAGTCATGTGGCCAGCATGACTAAGCCGCTTCTGGCAAACCAGAGCAGCGCACAGAAACACCGTTTACCTTCCCGCAGGAGCGGTACCTATTGATCTACTTGCACTTTGACGTGCTTTTGAACTGCTAGGTGGGCAGGAGCAGGGACCGAGCAACAGGAGCTCACCCCGTCGCGGGGATTCGAACCGCCGACCTTCTGATCGGCAAGTCCTAGGCTCTGTGGTTTAACCCCCAGCGCCACCTGTGTCCCTTGCAGATATCTGGGTAGATGTGTCTAAACAAAAATGTTTGAAGCAGGAGCCAAAAAGAGTATAAGTGAATACACCTGCCTGGTGCCTCTACACTAACGGATCAATTTCTTACAAATGTAGAGCAGGTCGTGTGTGTCGCACCTATAAGAGGACCAGTTCTGCAGAAAAATAGTCATATAAACAAACTCTTGTTTCTTTTGATCACGCTTCCTGAAGCTAATTGGTGTCATCACCAATGTGAAAAGGATCTAGGAGTCCTGGTTGACCACAAACTTGACATGAGCCAACAGTGTGACGCGGCAGCTAAAAAAGCCAATGCTATTCTGGGCTGCATCAATAGGAGTATAGCATCTAGATCAAGGGAAGTAATAGTGCCACTGTATTCTGCTCTGGTCAGACCTCACCTGGAGTACTGTGTCCAGTTCTGGGCACCACAGTTCAAGAAGGACACTGACAAACTGGAACGTGTCCAGAGGAGAGCAACCAAAATGGTCAAAGGTCTGGAAACGATGCCTTATGAGGAACGGCTAAGCGAGCTGGGCATGTTTAGCCTGGAGAAGAGGAGGTTAAGGGGTGATATGATAGCCATGTTCAAATATATAAAAGGATGTCACATAGAGGAGGGAGAAAGGTTGTTTTCTGCTGCTCCAAAGAAGCGGACACGGATCAATGGATCCAAACTACAAGAAAGAAGATTCCACCTAAACATTAGGAAGAACTTCCTGACAGTAAGAGCTGTTCGACAGTGGAATTTGCTGCCAAGGAGTGTGGTGGAGTCTCCTTCTTTGGAGGTCTTTAAGCAGAGGCTTGACAACCATATGTCAGGAGTGCTCTGATGGTGTTTCCTGCTTGGCAGGGGGTTGGACTTGATGGCCCTTGTGGTCTCTTCCAACTCTATGATTCTGTGATTCTGTAATTCTGATGGTGTTTCCTGCTTGGCAGGGGATTGGACTCGATGGCCCTTGTGATCTCTTCCAACTCTATGATTCTATGTTTCTATGATCATGCACCTGTTTTTAAAGAAGGAAGAGGGTCAATACCGTCCAGCAGAAAGCATAAAATCAATATAACTTCAGACAGCAGGGCTGGCATTGCCCTCACTTTATCAGATATAACCACTGGAAGGAAATGGAGGAGCTGGCTAATTCCGGAGGCTGAGTTCCCAGGAGCTTTGGCTAAAGGTCAGTGTCTGGGTTCCTTTGCCCCTTGATTACTTAATGATATTACTTTTACAGAAATGTATGTCACATTTCCTACCAAGAAGGTCACTTCTAAAAGAGAAACAACACACACTTAGCCTTTGCATCTGCAAGACTGAATTGTTATTGTTTAGTCGTTTAGTCGTGTCCACCTCTTCATGACCCCCTGCACCAGAGCATGCCAGGCACTCCTGTCTTCCACTGCCTCCCCCAGTTTGGTCAAACTCATGCTGGTAGCTTCGAGAACACTGTCCCACCATCTCGTCCTCTGTCGCCCCCTTCTCCTTGTGCCCTCCATCTTTCCCAACATCAGGGTCTTCTCTTCTCATGAGGTACGTTTCCGAGCACAATTCAAAGTGTTGGTGCTGACCTTTAAAGCCCTAAACGGCCTTGGTCCAGTATATCTGAAGGAGCATCTCCACCCCCATCGCTCTACCCAGACACTGAGGTCCAGCGCTGAGGGCCTTCTGGTGGTTCCCTCCCTGTGAGAAGTTACAGGAAACCAGGCAAGGGGCCTTCTCAGTAGTGGCACCTGCCCTGTGGAACACCTTCCCATCAGATGTCAAAGAGAACAACAGCTACCAGACTTTTAGAAGACATCTGAAGGCAGCCCTCTTTAGGGAAGCTTTTAATGTTTGATGCATTACTGTATTTTAATATTTTGTTGGAAGCTGCCCAGATGGGCGGGGTATAAATAACCTGTAACCTCACTTCTTCAGGGAGAGAACCGCCACAATTTTATAAACCTGGGTCCTATTGCGTCACGGACATCATTTTTCTCAGAGCCCCGGTACCCTTAGAATTTAAGAAGAGCTTTGCAGGATCAGGCCAAAGGCCCATCTAGTCCAGTATCCTGAGCGTACAGTGGACAACAAGATGCCTGTGGGAAGTCTGCGAGGAGACCATGAGCACAACAGCAGCTCTTCCCCCTCTTGTGGTCCCCAGTGATCGACACGCAAAAGATCCCTTCCTCCTTCTGCCTGCCAAGATTCCTTGGGCCCGTTGAAATGGACCTTCCTTGGGGGAGTTGGTTCAGCTCCCCAATCGCCAACTGAAATGTCTTCTGCTCGCCTCCAGCTTTTCTGAGAGTCGGTCCACGCTCTCCATCCTGACCAGAGGTGAAGCCACGATGAGACAGACTCCTAACTGTGAGCTCGGCCGGCCTGGCCCGAGAGGCATCAATGCAGGTATTCGAGGAGGTTTTAACGAGACCTTCCTCCTAATTAAAAGGTCCGTGGGGAAGATCTTCCTGGACCTCAGTCCTATAGCAGAAGCCAGTACTGATCCTGGCAAGGGTTCCTCCGGGGGGGGGCAGGCGGTGAATATGTCAATAGCTCAGTTGGAACTAAGCGCTCTGTGTCCAAAGTGAGCATCAATGCATATAATTGATTTGAGTCCAATTGTTCACAGTGTGATTTTTCAAAAGGCCTATTGGTTTTAAATTCCATTAACAGTGATAAATGAAGAGCCCTTTGCAGAAAATTACAGGCAGAGCAATTTGCAAAATGGGTGCAACTGAAAACCACGGGCAATATTTGTGTAATGTCGCCTCCTTTGTTTCTCTGAATACTGCCATTAAGGGGTGTGCGCTTTAAACAAAACAAAACAAAAACCTCAAATTATATGGAGATGGTATTGTACAAAAAAAATATTGATGGTTTAAAACTGAAGCAATGTTGGGAGATGTATCTCAATGACGGCAGGCGCGTCTCGTGGGACATTAGTAGAATTAAGTGTTTTGGAATGCATTGGGAAAGATAAAGAGGCTTTCATAGAATCATAAAATTGTAGAATGGGGAGGAATCCAAAGGATCATCTAGTCAAACCCGCTGCAGATTGTGGAAATGTTGTGGATACTAGGAGAGGATATATTGATTAAATATTATCCTTCCTTCCCCACGCTAGTGAGCTGGTAGCAGAGTACATTCCCCTGTATATTGCAGGAAGCTAGCTGGCAGATTCGTTTGAATCTCTTTTCAGTGGTACCTTGGTTTAAGAACAGCTTAGTTTATGAGCAACTTGGATTAAGAAGTAGGTGTTTTGGTTTGTGAACTTTGCCTTAGAATAAGAACATGTTTTGCTTCCTGTTGAGCATGTTCCATTTGTAAAAAAAAAATTATTTATTTTTTAGATTGGATAATTTTATTGTTTATTTAACATAATTGTTACAAAATATAAGCAAAATGTTACAAATGCATACATATATATTTCAAATAAGGACATATATATGAAAAAAGGAACAAAAGAGAAGAAAAGAAGAAAGAAGAAAAAATAAAGAGAAAAGAAGAAGAAATGTTGGAAGAATTTCTTCCAAGTTTATTCTACAGATATCTCAATATGAAAACAATAATAAAATTTCATTGATTGAAATTTGTAAACTGAGTCCCCTGCTGCTATGGGAAAGCATGCCTTGGTTTAAGAACGCTTTGGTTTAAGAACGGACTTCCGGAACAGATTAAGTTCGTAAACCAAGGTACCACTGTACTTAAGCAATCCAATCTGGTTTATGCAGACTGGGTTTGTTCTTGGTAAATCCCCTTTATTCCCTCTTAAAAAGAATAAAGACACAACAGTCTTCTCTTAAAAGTGATAAGAAGTTTAGGTAAAGGTAAAGGGACCCCTGACCATTAGGTCCAGTCGTGACCGACTCTGGGGTTGTGGCGCTCATCTCGCTTTATTGGCTGAGGGAGCCGGCTTACAGCTTCCAGGTCATGTGGCCAGCATGACTAAGCTGCTTCTGGCGAACCAGAGCAGCACACGGAAACAGCGTTTACCTTCCTGCCAGAGTGGTACCTATTTATCTACTTGCACATGCTTTCGAACTGCTAGGTGGGCAGGTGCAGGGACCGAGCAACAGGAGCTCACCCCGTCGCAGGGATTCGAACCGCCGACCTTTTGATCGGCAAGTCCTAGGCTCTGTGGTTTAACCCACAGTGCCACCCGCGTCCCTCACTGCACCACTAGGAGGACATGAAAAACAGGATCTCAGAATGCTCCTGAGGAACACATTTGTTTTGAAAGAAACAAGAATGGATCAGTTTCCACACACATATTTTGTGTTTTTTAAATATCTGACAATTTGAAGCACGCAGAGAAAGGCGCGACTTTCCCAACTTTGGCTCCCGTTTCCATGAAGACAAAAGCAATATTTCCAGCAGATCCAAAACTTGATCAAATGTTCCCTGTTGAACGCAAGTGTTTCCGTTCCAAGCATCAACATTCATATTTTAATCAGTTTTTAAAGGACGTCTTAAAATAACACAAAACACGCTTTCTCACCATAAGACTGCATGTTAATTCCAAACTCGGCACGAACGCTACAAAACCTGTTCTATCGGATAAATTAGATAAACATAGACATCCCAGATATTTGACACCGAGAAGAATCTTGAAAATTATATGTGGCCTTGCCAAGCCAAATATCCCTGCCTGTCTAGAGTGTCTGAGAAAACAATTAATCAGCAAAAAAAGCTTGCTTTTTCTCTCCTGTGGGGTCAGTAATGAAGGCTTTCAAGGCTGCTGTTTATTAGCCCATCAAACCCAACTGGTTTGGCACCACCAAGGTGGAGAGGAATTTATGGTTCTAGTTTGTTTGGCAGCGTTTGGCTGGGGCGTTGAGCTTTCCGAAACAGAATGAGTGGGCCTGCAAAAAGGAAGGATTGTCCAGGCCAGTGTTATCGCCATGTGATTAACACTTTTGTGGGTCCCCCCGCCCCCAGCCTGGGAACTGTCTTTGAGGGCCATGTGCATTTAATTGCGACACTGTGCAGCCAATCAGAATTGTCTATAAATGACAACATCAATGCGCTAGATCAATGGGATAAAAAGGCCAGACAAAACCTGGGACCAGGAGGAAAGGACCCTGGATGAAGATTGGACTGTTTTTATTTCTGTTTTTTATTACTAGGATTGTTTTATAAAATTGATGAATGTTAGAAAAATGTTGGAACGAAATTACTTGGCTCTAGCAAAAATGTTTAAAGAATTAGGTAAGAATATTATGGTTATGAGAAGTTGGTAAAAATAAGATTTAAGCTTTAAGTTTTAAGGTTTTCTATAAGATAAGATGAAAATAGATTAAGGTAATGTAATGACAGAATATTATGAAATATGGAAAGGATTTCCTGCGATAATTAATAACCAGGATACAAAAAAAGGGAGGAGAAGGAGGTCAAAGAAAGAATGTAATGAAAGTCGAGGATTCGAGAATGATGGTTTTGTTTTTGTCTGTTTGTGGTGTATTTTTGTTTTTTTAAAAATTTGTATTGTTTGATGTGGTGTGTTTTTTCTTTGTTTTCTCTTTTTTCTTTTTCTGCTTTGTTCTTTTTTGTAATTCTAAAAATTTTTCAATAAATATCATTTAAAAAAAAAAGAAAGACAGAGCTATTCAGCCTGGCTTTCCATTTGAAAAATAAATAAATAAATAAATGACAACATCACAAAGCCAAGGGAGAACGAGGGGCGTCACATCCTCAGTGAGCACTGACCTGGCGAATTGGCAAATACTTTTGTTAAGTTGTGGGTGAACATTTCAGGCGACACAGCGATTCTTCAAACGGCTCTTGTTTATTCACAGGCCAGAACAGAACTGAACTGAAGGGTTCAGACAGCCTGCTTATATAGAGCTCCACTACAACGCAACAGTAACCACTTTCTGTAACTATCCAATCACTGAACGTCACTTTCAATCCCTTATTTGCATATGTGAACCTGAGTGAAAACTATCTACAGTATCCCTCTGCTGGCCCAGGGTGAGAACTTCAGTACATAACACCTTTCCCTCTGTTATAGGAATTCTAAGGTCTCCTATATATAAATCATACGTTCATAAATTTACAAGGCAAACACATACATAAGTATATAAACTACATGTCTGAAATAGTGAGCAATCCTGGAACCATTTTGACTCTCCCAAATTGACCTCAAATGCTTCTCTGCAAGGAGGAAGGAAATGGGAAAGCCTCCCCATTGTCTCTTTGCTCACAAATCCTGTCTTAAGGGCGCATCTGTGTATGAATAGGGTGAGCCTGTGACCTGAACTCAGGAACTGAGTATTTACCATCACAAAACAATGGCCGGGATGCCCAGGTAAAAGCAATCAGTGACCATTATCAGGTATCCTGGCAGATAGGTTTTCTGCTGTAGACCGTCCCTTCAGTGATGTATGTACAGTGTTTTGGGGGGTGGTCTTGAGCTACAGGGGAGGCAATTTTATTTTATTTTCCAATTTTTTTTATTGATTTTCCAAATTTATAACAAACATCAAAAAAACAAACAAACAAACATAAATCCTAACTATAATAAATCCACTTTTGTTAACATTGTTAGGTGACTTCCCTGTATCCCCCTGGCTTAGTTTCTATGTATATCATTGTA